TCTTTTCTTTCTCCAGCCGATCACCAGACTGGCGATCGGCTGGAGGCCAGGGCCAGCGGCACTCTCAAGGCTTGCCAGCCTCACTAGTGATGGCAAAGGCGAGCCTCGCCAGATCCAATGAGGTCGGGCCTCCCCCATGGCTGGCGAGGCTCAACCCTTGCCAGAGGCCCGACCCTTGCCGGAGGTCGCAAGGTCGTGGCCTTCAACCTCGTTGGATGGCCATGAGGCCGAGGATGGCCATGAGGGCGGCCTCATGTTGGGACGGTGAGGGTTGAGCCTCGTTGGCCATGGGTGAGGCCCAACCTCGTCAGATCCGGCGACGCTCGCCTTCACCGTCGCTGGCGAGGTTGGCAAGCCTTGATAGTGGCCGGCGGGGCTCGCCGGCTGCCGGTCCGGGGACCGGCTGGAGGAAGAAGAAAGGTAAAGAAAAAGAAAAGAAATAAAAATGAAAAAGAAAAAAAAATTCAAAAAAATTCAAAAAATATTAAAATATTATTAAAAGTTGTCCATGTCATTGCCGGCAGTGTCACGTAGGCCAGCCGGCATTCACGTTGGAAATATCAGACCAAAATTAGCCGGAATGACTGAATTGGCACAAAAACAAAATGTGTAGGATTGAATTGACACTCAAAAAAAGTTTAAAACTAAATTGGTATAAATGCAGTAGGTTTAAGACTGTTTTGGTAATTTTCCCATGGATTATGTGATCCATGTGCTAATAACCACAGATTCCCTCGGGCCACTTTCGCCGTGGACGACGGTCGAGGTCCAAAGAGACCGTTTTATGCTACTAGTCATCCAATCGATGGGTTAAATATTTTGATGGTTGCTTGATAAATGATTCTTCTGGCCACCATTTGATAAATGACTCAAGATGGTTGGATTCTCAACGAGAATCGGTAAAATGACTTGCTTTCACTGTTTCACGTAACAAATTCTATTTAGTGGCGATTTTTATTATAATTGCTAACAAAATGTTGATTTTTTTTCCGATTCTGTTAAAGAAGAACTTCGTTGCATTGTGCTCGGTACAAAATGACAAAAACTGAATAAATAAATATATATACGTATATGTATTCATAATTTCTTGTGATCCTTGACATGCATTAGTGACACAATTTTGTGGCACAAGTGATCGTTGATGAAACAATAATAAAAATAATTTTCAGGCAAGCCAATCGCGTTTTAGAATAGGGTTAATACCACGAAAAATCCCAAATTGGTACATCTGTGATAATTTTATCCCAAACTAATTTTTTGATTACAAAAAATCCCAAACTGGTACATCCGTGACAAATTTATCCTATGTTAGTTTTCGTTAAATTTTACTGTCAAATTGCTGAGTTTGATGACATGTGACAGTTGACGGGTGTATCAGTATGGGTTTTACCCCTTTGTTTGTCACAGGTTTATCAATTTATGGTTTTTCGTGGTATTAATCTAATTTAACGAAATGTAAATTTGTCACAAGTGTACTAGTTTGAGATTTTTGGTGGTCAAAAAATTAGTTTAGGGTAAATTTATTACAGGTGTACTAGTTTGGGGTTTTTCATGGTCAAAAAATTAATTCGGGGTAAATTTGTCATAGATGTACAAATTTAGGATTTTTTGTGATATTAACCCTTTAGAATATTGGTAAGTAGAGGAGATTATATTTCTCCACCCATATGATTCTCTATACTATTAATAAAAAAGTGCAAATTGACCTTCACCACAAAGCTTCACTTAGATTAGAACAACTAGACACATTCCAATCAATGGTCGGCACAACTATTTTGGTGCACTCCACACTGATTTAAATAAAATTGTGTCTCTCCCTCCGAACTGCAATAAAATTTGGGTCCACTATTATGTAGTACTAAGGATGGTCGATACTTGACACCTAGAAGTAAGATGAGTTCTTCAATATTTTAAGCATTTCATCAACGAGAATATATATATATATATATCGAAATGTAGGAACATGAAGCTGCAGAATCTATTTTAACCGAAGTTTATACCATTGAAAACTCTAAATTATGGTCACTGTGATACAAATACTCCAAACTTTTTTTTGTGTTACCAAAAATCTTAAATTATGTACACTATGGCAACAATACTCCACATGTCACCAAAACCCACAAATTTGTACACTCAAACAAATACAAGATATTGGTTTAGGCTGCGCAAAGTATAGGATTTTTTGTAGTAAGGCAAAGGGTATTTCTGTCATGCCAGTACAAGTTTATCAAAAAGAAGATTGAATTATTGGTGTCACGGTGGGCATAATTTATGATTTTTTGTGGTATTTTTCTGTTTTGACCTCCAAAAGAAAAGTGATCAAAGTAAAGAAGTACCTTTCGACCAAAAAAAAAAAGTAAAGAAGTACCTTATTATTGTTATTGTTATTATTTTGAGGGAGAAAAATTCATTGATGAACTAATCATTTAGGTCCGAATCATATTAATAAAAATAACGTATGAGCCAAAACTGGATCAAGTTATGTCTGTTGCATCCGAGTAGGTTCCAATTCGAAAACTTATTTAAAAAACAAAATGATTTAGAAAATTTTGAACAACCAAAATGGATCTTTCTACCTCGAAATCTAGAAAACTGTGCCCCGCTAACATATAATACAAAATGAAAATTGACTTTAGCTCAAAAGGGTCTTTGTTTTTAATTCTTCTATGCAGGCGCTTATTCATTAATTGCTAATACGTCTGACTAGTGGAGGTAAGCAATGACGAAACCAAAGGGGATGGCCATTTCCCTCTTGAGCATTAGGTGCTCCATACAATTTTTAATTGTTTCGTGGCTATTGGGATTATGCCTCCATTTTTAGTTTTCTCTGCACACTCTTATCTCAGCATCTCGAATAGTCACCTTACTCTACTCGATTCAACAAATTTGAAAAGATTGTAAGCAAATCAGCTTCATAACTGTATAAGTAGATCACCAAATCAATAAGTAATTCATCGCCTCAACTAGAGATCGGACATGTTGCTATTAAGACTATGTGAATGTCATGGAATAATGCATTCTATATAGCTAATCACTAGAGGTGAGAAAATGGATGATGAACCCTTTTGTAATTTAGGTTCAATGAACCGGTAATAATATGGGTTACCTGACTGTGATGAAAAGGGTTTAGATAGGTCTAAAGCAATTAAAGCCCTCTAGACATAGATGCTGTTCCGAGTGTTCTATTGAAATTGATAAGTTTTAAAGAGTATTGGTAGGAGACACGGTATATATCTTATTTTATTTTATAACTCATATAATCATATTCATCTAATTCGGTATGTGAGATGACACACATGCCGGAATTTATTATGTGGTGCTACATGGCTATGACATTATGCGGCATTGATTTATATTAATTTACTATATCGACAATGATATTATTAGTAAATTATTGTTTTAAATCACCATGATGTATGCTTATACCGATTACTATGGACATAGATTTTCGGAAATCCAATACTATTAGAGCTAATGCAAGTGGCTTTGTAACATACATTTCGTTAGACCAAATGCAAAGCCCCTCACAATTTTGCAGATAAAATAGTCAGTTTTATAGGTCACTTTATAGCATGTTGATAATTTTATGATCCTTGACATGCGTTAGTAACATAATTTCTTAGCATAAGTAATCGCTGATACTATAATATTTGGGAAAATTATCAAAAAAATCATAAATCTATTTCACTTTTGCCAATTCAATTTTAAACCTTTCAATTTTGCCAATTGAAACCTAAACCTTTTCACTTCTTGCTAATTGAGTCTATCTGACCAATTTTAGTCGAAAATCGCTGACGTGGATGCCAGTCGGCCACGTAGCGCTGACGTGGTCATTTTAAAATAATATTTAGATAATTTTCTGAATTTTATGGTTTTTTTTATTTTCTTTGTTTTTTTTGGTTTTGGAGTTAGGGCCGATGAGGGTGGCCAGCCGATCGCCAGCCACAGGTGAGGGCTTGCCGACCCTCACCGGCTTGTTGCCCTTGTCGACCAAAGTGAGGGCGCGCGAGCCCTCGCCCAGATCCGTAAAGGGCCGTGACGCCCTTGCCAGATCTGGCTAGGTGAGAGCTTGGCGACCCTCGCTGGATCTGGGTGAGGGCTCGCGCACCCTCGCTTTGGCCGGCAAGGCTGTCTCGTGCCCAGAGCTGGCGAGGGTCGCTGGCCCTCGCTTGTGGCCAGTGAGGGTCGGTCGGCCGGCCATCCTTGCTGGCCCTAACTCCAAAACCCAAAGGAAAAACAGAGAAAGAAAAAAAAAACAGAAAAAACCATATAAATTCAGAAAATTATCTAAATATTATTTAAAAATGTCTACGTTAGCACCACATGGCCTACCGGCGTCCGTGTCAGCGATTTCCGACCAAAATTGGCCGGATGGACTCAATTAGCAAGAAGTGAAAATGTTTAGAATTCAATTGGCAAAATTCAAAATGTTTATGACTGAATTGGCAAAAGTACAATAGGTATAGGACTTTTTGGATAATTTTTCCTGTAATATTTTAGTAGTAAAATGAAGTTTATTCATTTGATTCTACAATATTTTTGGAAATTCCTGTTGTTGAATATATTCAAACAAATACCTTTTCTGACGGAAAATATATTAACGAAAGAAAAGGAAAGCTCAACGCTGCAATCACTGAACTAACGCTTATATTTATTCATCTATCTTGACCACTTGTCTGGCTTATACCCTAGCAGCACTTGTCTTTTGTTTTTGGTTTTATTTCTTTTCATTGCTTCTGCATCGCAACTTGCTCGGCTATTTTATTCTTCTTGGGCAGGTATCGCCTCGGATTTTCTGGTGCATTGGAATTATCACGCACGAAGACAACGACCGTAAGCGCTTGGATAGTGTTCCCGGTCAATGAATTACTAATTTATATCTGGCCTGACAAAGTTTGAATTATTGGTTGCGATTCTGGTTGCCAGCTGGTTCGATTATTTAATTCAAACCAAACAGGAGACGATGGGCAACAAGAAGGCATTTCGTGTTTCCTGAGAGGCATTCTGGTTTTTCTTCTCCGGCAGCCTTGAAAGCAAATATCAAGGGCAGAGTCAGAGCAAAGACGAGATGCATCGTCCCATTTTTGGGCATTCTTTTGCCGTGCTCGTGGCACCCATCCTTCTCTCCGTGCTCGCGTTCAAATTTCTCAATAAGAAGAAAGCTGGCGTGCGTGGAAATGCAAAAGATGCTGAATCTGGCGCATCCGGTTCGTCAACTGCGCCGACGGAAGCTAATTCCAGTGGATCTAGTTCGTTCACCGCACCAACTAGAAATCACTATGAGGTATTCTTGAGTTTTAGGGGACTAGATACTCGAAAAGGATTCATCGATCACCTCTACAATGGGCTCATTGATGCTGGAATTCATGCTTTCAAAGACGATAATGAGCTCCGCCAAGGCGAGAAGATCGGACCAGATCTTTTGGCAGCCATCAAGAACAGTAAGATCCTAATCCCCATTCTCTCTGTAAATTATGGTGAGAGCAGTTGGTGCCTAGATGAACTGGTTCAAATAATGGAGTGCAAAAATAATAGCACGGGGCATATAGTGTTGCCCATATTCTACAAAGTGAAAGTATCTCACGTGCGACATCAAATCGGGAGTTTTGGAAAGACATTTCGGGAGCGTGAAAGCCGTTTGCGCGAGAGGGGCTTCGACCCTACGATTTTGGAGAAGTGGAAGCAAGCACTCACTGAAGTCAGTTCCTTGAAAGGATTGAACGCCGATGGGTAAAAGTTTTCACCAAAACATTCTCCACTTTCTTTTAGTTTGTGTCGATGTTTACTGGTTGTTCTGGATACTACCTGCTTCATTTTCTTTCTATTAGTTTTTTCAGTAAAGGAAAGGCAGTAAGATGTTGCTAGCAGTGAGATCTTGCGATGCATGATTTTCATAAGTTATTCTTTTCAAGAATTACTATAATGATATTGACCAATCTAATTGTAGAATTTATTGTTATGATCCCATTCGCTTGAATAATATAAGATTTTTTTCATTGAGTTATTACTCTTATGTCCATAGATTTTGTAGCATCGTGCCTTTTTTTTTTTCATGTTTGTAGTGTAAGCTACATTAATCTCCATCACAAAATTTTCTATTTACATATTTATCTGAGATTGATAGTACATCTTATTGGTGGTTCCTGTTTAAAGCTCATAACATCATACAACGTGCATGTTGATTGACAAAGCCATAATTCTTTTTCTTCGCAAGTTATATTTATTAAATTATTAACAAAGTCAATTAATTGCTATTAAAAAAATTACAAATGAAATATTTCATTGGTTATATATGATGATTGCAAATATAAAGAAGGAAAAAAAGATTTTCTTTATTATATATTTGTCTTAATAATGTTCAATGCATTTTCCTATCTCCTACACCCGCATAAGTTGAAGTAATGTTCTTCTTTTGGGGAAAAATCATTCTTCTACTTCGCCATAAATCAATATTAGATCAATTATAGTCAAAGAATATAGATACTTAAAAGGAAAAGAAAATACAACCTGTTATCATCCCATGGCTCAAAGAAATTGATAAGAACACGAATATGGAATGATACTAAATTCACAACAAGAGTAGAAACTTGCGAGCACATAGAATTGCACAAATAAAGAGAAATTCCCTCAATTATATTCAGGTAGTTCATAATATAACATTCTGAACGACTTTTAGGACCTAAATTCCTTTTGCGTTAAAAGTTATAACCTATTTATTAATTGATGGCTAAACTCTCATATTGGGCCGACTTATTGGGTTTTGCTATTCAAATGCTATAGAAAGTTTTTAATGACACGTCCACGTCTTCCCTAATAACTTTAACAATCAATAACTTTAAAATTTAATTCAGATCCATAATTCATGTAATATTTAATATTCATTAGCAATAACCTCAAGTTTCTTTTGGCTCAATAGATTATAACATAGCAAAAATGGAATGTCGGCATGCTTGAAGCAACCACCACCACTTCCCACTTTTAATCTTAGCATATAAGATTATATATGGAGGTGTGACAAGTACGATTCTTAAAGTTTTTTTATCCTCAAATTTATGGATTACAGTGTTCTCATTAGATTGGCAATATAAAATTACTATTTCCATGTATTTGAACTCTTGTCGCATTTAACAGGTATGAAGGAGAATTGGTAAAATCGGTTGTCCGAAAAGTCTTGAACGAGTTGAAGAAAGAGTTTGAGTTGGTTATTTCTGAGAATCTGGTTGGAATCGATAGACATATCGAGAAGGTTATGGAATTTGTCAATAACAATTCTCGTGCCACCCTATTTGTGGGCATCCACGGAATGGGAGGTATTGGTAAGACAACTCTTGCTAAAACCATCTACAACAAGCTCTCCAACAAATTTGAGCATCGTAGCTTCATTGCTGACATTAGGGAATCATGTAAGCGCAATGGCCTTGAATACTTGCAAAATCAATTAATCTCTGATATATTGAAGCATAGTAATCAAGTTTCTAATAGGGATGAGGGGATTAGGTTTATCTCATCCAAGTTTGAAGGTAACAAAGTCCTAATTCTTCTTGACGATATGGATGATGATGATCAGTTGATGGCTTTGGCTGGAAATCACAATTGGTTTTCTTCGGGAAGCATAATCATTATTACCACCAGAAACAAGAGTATTCTTGACAATGCCGAGGTGGACTGCAACTATGAACTTGATGAAATGGATAAGGATATATCTTCGATTTTGTTTAGTAGACATGCATTTAGAAATGATGTTCCTCCAAGTGAATTTGAGGTCCTCACTCGTGATGTTGTATCCGCCACTGGAGGGCTTCCCTTATCTTTGGAGGTTTTGGGTTCATTTCTACACGATAAAAAGCCAAACATATGGAGAGATACAATAAAAAAATTAAGAAAGGTCCCTCATAAGAAAGTGCAAGAAAAGCTAAAAATAAGCTATGATGCACTAGAGTATGGACAACAACAAATATTTTTGGATATTGCTTGTTTTGTCATTGGCACTGATGGGAGAATCGCATCTTACATGTGGGACGCTTGTGACTTCTTTCCAAATGAGGGAATTGAAGTATTGAGATTGATGTCATTAATAAAAGTTGGAGATGATCATGAGCTTAAAATGCATGACCAATTGAGAGATCTTGGTAGAGATATCGTCTGCAAGGAAAACGAGAGAGAGCCTCAATACCGTAGCAGGTTATGGGACACCGAGGAAGTTATGAAAGTGCTAAAGAGAAATAAGGTAACCGTGTCTCTTCTTTTGCTCCCTTAGTCCATTATTTACTGTTGGAGTGATGTTGGTCCTTTACTTAGTGCTTGCTCTAGTGAACAGAGGACCTAGTAATATTATTTCCCTCGTGTCATTTCATTGACGTTATTGGATAGTAAAAGGTTGCTCTTTCTTAGTAAGTATTGCAGCTTATCAGAGATTTTTCTTAAACAAGTGTTATCTCCAAGAATGGGTACTTTCAAATTTACTAGATACTTCTAGGGGTATTCTATCTTGAAAAAAATTGTATTTCTCTAGTTGATTCTGTTACCTCCTTGACACATGCAATGACTAACTTGAATATGCTACCGTGAAAAATAGCTACTGAGGATATTTTAATCATAGAATTCTAATCTCTAGGTGTTAGAATTAATATAACAGGAGTAACCATGCCCGTATTTTTCATGAAATTTCAATCATGATACCGTATTTGAGAATGGAAGGGATACTTATTTCGTGTAATATTAGGTTAGAAGTTCCTTTTACCAAAATTTACATGAAAGAACAGCAATATATATAGATACGTATAACTTTGAGCGTACTTCATGCATTGACCATTAAAAAGAGAAATGTTTTATTTTTTCCACATAAAATGTCCCAGAGATAATAACTCTAAAATTCTGTTTTGTACAAAATGAAGAATGTGACTGTATTGTATTGTTGAAATTAATCATAGTTTTGACTGTGTTACTTTGAATCCATCATTTGGTTTGACTCAAAGTTGTTGCTCGAAAGAGTAGCACTTGTTTGCACTTTCAACGTGCAACCTATTCTAAATCTCAAGAGCCGTATCATATGCTATCATTTTCAAAGCCAAGATGTCTTTCGTATTACATCCTAACATAAACTAAACTAACCAACAGAAAAATGAGTATGCTGTATATTTATATCTATAAAAACTGGTATTACTATCTTTTACAACTAAAAAGGTAAATTGATCGATGTAATTAGCTCAGTATTTTTGTTGGGTTCATTTTCCTTCTTCATTCATGGTACTATCATTAGTTGAAATGAAAGTGGTTTTGATAAAACTGAAACAAGATCTTCCTTTAAGATTATTCCTACATTTAATCAAAATATCTAAAGTAATTCTCATAATATGTTATCTTAAAACTCAGTCATCTTTGATAAAATAACCGATGTGAAGTGCGAAGCATGGAAAAGAGCACAAGGACGACGAAGAAAATAAACAGAAATGAAAAGACATAAAGCCTAATTGAAACACATTCTTAACTTGCTCCTTAAATATTAGTGAGTATACAGCCAAACAAAAATAAGCACAACCTTTTGCACCTAGGAAAACAATAGCACAACCATAGAAAATACAAAAAAAAGAAAAGAAAAGAAAAGAAGACCAATCTTATGTATGCGGGGAGAAAATAGCGCAATTTTTCAAACTTCCTAGAGAAAAGATCAACCTTTTCACTCGTGAGACAAAAATGCCACCCGTCACAATTTCTATGTTTTCTCACCCTAAATTACCACGTGTCATCCTACATGGTTCATTGTGCTGACGTGCACAATGAGCCATGTTAATCATGATCACAATGACCTTTTTTTCTTTACAAAATGCTAGAAATTTGGCAATTGGTTTTTGTGTTGGTTGACATGACTCACCTTATACGTTAGCACAGTGAGTTATGTAAGATAAAAAGATCAAATTAATCATTAGAGGGAGTAATAGAATATTTATATATTAAACCATACATTCATATAATAATTTAACTTTTTATAATTACTCTTCTCTTGGATTCCTTTTAAGGTATTGAGATCTAATTCCTTCTCGACGAATTATATGATCTATTGGTCGTCTTTAAATTATTGTTGGAATATTTGATGGAGGAAAAATTGGTTAAAAAAGGGAATGATGTGGCAAGGGAAGGAAGAAATGATAAGGGTTTGAAGCAATCATTTTTAGGAGAATATTTTTTTTAAATTGTTCATTTTCCGGGAAACAAACAAAGCCATAGATTATATTTTACCAATTGTATAACGATATATCAATATTTATAAGCATTACGAACCTTGGTTCAAATAACGGTAAGACGAGGCACAACCCTCTGTGGTATGGTGTCAAGCCATCCCATTTGCTGTCACTCGATCTAGCTTAAGTCAATTCAAGTGGCTGCAGTGGCATAAGGCCAGATTAGTAACCATGAAATCAAATACAACATTGTGAAGTACAAAGAGAAATTTTCTTGTCGAGAGAAACTAACATGGATTTGACAATTCTTGAATTTTCCGTGTTTCTTCTTAACTTCTTATGCAAAAGTGATTTTTCTTGGTGAAAGCTTGTTGCACATTTGATTCACAGGAAAAGCTATTATATTTCAAATCCATCCTGATGAAGCAATTATTCATTCGTTTCATTCAAAAATAGATTAGAAATAGCTAAGGGGGCCAAGGAATTAATAGCTATTTCATGTGGCCGAGAACAGCTTCAATTTTCATAATTCAGCAATGATAATGAATTCAATTTAAAATTAATCAAAGTCATTAAATGAGGACTGTTACTATAAATAAAAATCAAATTTGATGTTTATATAACTACTATCACAAGTTTAGCTACTTTTATTAATCGTAAGTAGCACTGTCATGTAATATGTACGAAATTTATACATAAGATAAAATGAAAAAGAAAAGCACTTCAAAAGATTAAATTCTCTTTGAGAAGTTTGCTTTCCCCAATTGTCAAAATTATTCCGATAACTATGTCCCTACGTGATTGTTGTTCATTTGGATATCCATTATGAAAATTACAGAGAGAATTTTATTTCTCTTAAAATTGATCAAATCAACTTTGATTCTGCACATTGTAATTTAATTAAATCCCGTGCATTGTATGTGCCTAATAACTTGTATAGTACTGAAGCTACATCACTGGAAAGAAGATGATTTACAAGTAGTAAAGTTTTACCCCTCAATGAGCCATTAGATCAAAGGGTAAAAGTACGTTAATAATATATACAAGATACTATAAACTGTACAAAATAAAATAAAACTAAAAGAAAGAGCCAATCATAATACTTTTTAAGATCCAAGTACTCATGGCCAAATTTCAAAATCGAAGTTGACATCCCTCACTTCATTGCGACTTTATATATATTGTTTACTGACCAAAAAAGGAAATCATATCTTCACTTTGCTAGTCTCTTAAAGACATGGATGCATGTTAATAGCACTGTGAACAAATGATTCTACATTACTTTTGTTGGATATAAATAGCATTAATGAACATTAATTCTTATTTATAGGGAACTGAGAAGATTGAGGCCATTTATCTTAGCTTTGACGCTACAGCTGGCTTAGGTGGCAATATACATGCAGACGAACAATTCAAGAATTTAAGGAGACTAAGGTTCCTTCATGTGAGTGGAGCACATTTAAGTGGAGATTTTAAGAACTCAATTGAGGAGCTAAGATGGCTTCAATGGCACAATTGTCCCCTTACTTTCGAAGCGAAGAATTTTTATGTGAGGGAATTAGTTGCACTCGAATTTTCAGGAAGCCTGATTTCAAATAATTGGCAAGGATGGAGCTTCGTCATGGTAAGTTGATAGAACAAAGACTTTTCTTCTTCTTCTTTTTTGCTTTCTATTGAATCATAATCACTTTGGTTATTATATCCTATATCAGACGGCAAAGAAGCTAAAATTTCTTGACCTTACATCTTGTGGATCTTTAGAAGGAACTTTCTTTCTCTCAGCTTTTAAGAATTTAGAGGTTCTGATACTTGAAAATTGTTCAAGACTGGAGCAAATTGACTCTTCAATTGAAGACATGAAGAGCCTGGTACGCTTGGACTTGGCGAGATGCGAGATGCTCAAGGAGCTGCCAAACGGCATAGGAGCTTTGCAGAATCTAGAAATTCTGAATATAAGTGGCACCAAGATAAAAGAACTACCAGACGGCATAGGAGCTTTAAAGAATCTAGAAATTCTGAATATTAGTAGCACTGAGATAAGAGAAATATCAGAGAGCATAGGAGCTTTGCAGAATCTAGAAATTCTGAATATTAGTAGCACCGAGATAAAAGAATTACCAGACAGTATAGGAAATTTGAAGAATCTAGAAATTTTGGATATTGGTGGCACCGGAATGAAAGAATTACCCAATGGTATTGGAAGGTTGAAAAAGCTCCGAAAGTTAAATACTTGGCAGTGTAGGGAACTCCAATCGCTACCGGTTCTTCCTTCGAGCTTAATATACTTGAATGTCACCTGTCAAAGTTTCAAATTATCGTCACTTTTTCACATAACCAATCTCAAGGAACTAGATCTTTTGTACTGCGGAGTTCTCGATTGCATCTCGGAGCTTCCATCATCACTATCAGAGCTTTCAGAATGCTCCCAACAAGCAGATGTTGAAGAATTAGATTTGCAAAAATCCCCAAACACTCCTTTTAAGTTGGAAATATTGAAAATCCATGGCGGCAAGTTTAGGGAAATACTAGACGTTTCACAATTAAACCATCTAAGGAACTTGTTTGTCGCATCTTGCACTAACATACTTGAAGTCCGAGGTCTCGACAGATTGAAATATTTGGAAAGCTTGGATATCTTTGATTGCACTTCAATTGAAAGGTTGGACCTTTCAAAATCTGAGAGTATAAAAAAGTTACGTTTTGAAATTTGCGAAAATTTGGTTGAAATTCAAGGTCTCTATATGTTGGAGTTGTTGGAAGAGCTATCTATCAAAAAGTGTGTTTCAATTGAGAGGCTGGACCTTCCAAAATCCGAAGGTCTGAAGATAGTCAACGCTCAATATTGCGAAAACTTGGTTGAAATTCAAGGCCTCTATAGGTTGGAGTCTTTGGAAGAGATAAAGATCTATGGGTGCGCTTCAATTCAGAGGCTGGACCTTTCAGAATCCAAGGGTTTGAAGAAGTTATCTGTTGGATGTTGCAAAAACTTACTTGAAATTGAAGGTCTCGATAGGTTGGAGTTCTTGAAAGAGTTAAATATGTTTGGGTGCGCTTCCTTTGGAAGGTTACCAGATTTATGTTGCTTTGACAACTTGCATAAGTTGGCAATCAACTGTAGTGACAACCTTCATGATATTCAGAGCCTCGAGAAATTCCCATCCTGCACAAGTTTATGGATTGAGGATTACAAGTCCTTAGCAAAATTCCCAAACTTGTCAAATATTCATAATTTAAGGGAATTGTTGCTGTCAATGTCACGCCCCGAACCCCAACGGGCTCGCGACACCCCTCGATGGTCAATCATTGAACACGACGTCCCAGGACGCGTCGCCGACCCAAACGAAACACCCAACGATAAAGGCAAGCGGAAGCGAATTTAAAACAACCCAGACAATAAAATATGACAAGGGGATAGCACAAAACAATAATTCCAAATATACAACATCAAAAGGGAATAGTGGTGGGGTATCCTACTTCGCTATACAAAAGAGGGGCACACAAAATATGGGGTAACTTGACCCGTCCTCCATCCCCGAGATACCCTGGTGTCGTCTCCAATCAATCACGGTCGCAGATCTGAAAATGGTTATATAATAACCGTGAGAACAAGTCTCAATAAGCAACCCCCTATACCCCACATAGGCCAATGCGTACCCAGACAAGTCGTACATGCAATCTACCCGATTACATATATATAATTCACATAAATGGACTTACCTCGCCATCCAACCACATGCCCACACTGCACATTAGTCAAATCATAATAATGCAATAATAGTCAATGAACACATCAAAATCATTCGAGCGCCATACACACGTACGTTCATCCAATTCAACCCAAACACATTTCACATGCGCATCCATCCAACTTTCACACGACCCGGGTCAACACCCCACAGGTCAGCCCTCCGATCAATCCGGGCTCTGTCCCGGGTCAACACCCCACAGGACCTTTCTTATTTTCACACGACCCGGGTTAACACCCCACAGGTCAGCCCTCCGATCAATCCGGGCTCTGTCCCGGGTCAACACCCCACAGGACCTTTCTTACTTTCACACGACCCGGGTCAACACCCCACAGGTCAGCCCTCCGATCAATCCGGGCTCTGTCCCGGGTCAACACCCCACATGACCTTTCAAAAACAAACTTTCACACGACCCGGGTCAACACCCCACAGGTCAGCCCTCCGATCAATCCGGGCTCTGTCCCGGGTCAACACCCCACAGGACCTTTCTTACTTTCACACGACCCGGGTCAACACCCCACAGGTCAGCCCTCCGATCAATCCGGGCTCTGTCCCGGGTCAACACCCCACAGGACCTTTCAAAAACAAACTTTCACACGACCCGGGTCAACACCCCACAGGTCAGCCCTCCGATCAATCCGGGCTCTTCTCATGCACATGCACCATAATACAAAATTCACCATGCTCTTAGTCATATAAATCAATTTCAATCACCACCCTTTCACTAATGTCAATCTAGCACGCCACATCAGTCAACTCAATTCATGCTCCCCACGTCGGTCCACTGACCCGACATTCATGTCGGCACATTCAATTAATCCAATTCACCCACAAGCGCCACGACAATTCGATCGGGCATATTTATCTCGATCAATCACTAAATTAGCCGCACAATTATCGCCACAATAATTCACCAATTAAGCACAATCAGTCTAATTAGCCTATGCCTAATTAAAATCCTAAGCCGGTACTAAACACATCCTAAACAAGTCTAAAAATACCCAAAGTACTAGGTAGGGTTTAGGAAGTCACTTACTTGGTTTTGGCCCGGAGAAAATCGGCTCGGGCCTAAAATGGCCCGGGTGAACAGTGTCTCACTCGGCACGGGCAAGGGCGCGACGGGCGCGGGGCTCGGCCATGGGCACAGCCCTCGGCCACGGGCACAAGGCGCGGCACGGGCACGGGCACGGCGGCGGGCACGGGCACGGGCGCGGCAGCGGGCACGGGCACAGGCGCGAGCAGCGCGGCGCGGCGGCGGGCACGAGCGCGGCGGCGGCAGGCACGGGCACAGGCGTGGGCAAGCGGGCGCGGCGGCGGGAGCACGGGCGTGGGCAACGGGCGCGGGTGTGGGCACGCGGCTTGGTCAAGGTCCGAGCTGGTCGGCGGGGCTAGCCTGGCTGGTCGGGCGGCGACCCGGCGGCGGCGGTGGCGTGGCGGCGACGGCCGGGCGTGGCGGCGGCGTCTTTGGGAGAGAGGTCGGTCGGGTGAGAGAAAGAGAGACAGAGAACGAGAGGGAAGGAGAGGAAGAGGAGGAGAGGAGACAGAGAGGGCGAGGAAGCGAGCGGGCCGGCGGCGGCGCGGCAGTCGGCTAGCCGCACGGCGGAGCGGCGGCGAGCGGCGGCTTGGCGCTGGCGACTTCGCGGCAGGCCGGCGGTGGACGGCACGGAACGGACGAGCTCGAGATCGGCGAGCTCCCAGTGCGCGAACAAACGAGCGGCGAAGGCGACGGCTGAACTCCGCGGCGGCGAGCCGGACAGAACGGAGCAAGGCGGCGTGGCCGGGCAGCGACGGGCCGAGACAGGCGGTGGCGGCGAGCCGAGCTCACGCGTTCGGGGAGGAGGAGAAGGCAGGGTCGGGCGAGGCTACCGGGCGGCACGGCCGCGCGACGACGGCGCGGGGAGGACGGCGGCATCGGCGGCTGGTGGGGTGGCGTTGGACGGAGGCGGAACGGCGGTCGAACGGCGGTCGGCGAGCAGGGCACGGCGGAGCAGAACCAGACGCCCGCGAAGAACAACGAAGAAGAAGAAGAGAAGAAAGAAAAGAAAAGGAAAAAGGAGGAGAGAGAAAAGAGAGAAGGATGGGTCTGCATGGCTTAATGGGGAGGGGACGTGCACGCAAGGGGGGCAGACGCGGCGCAGAGGGGAGAGAGAGAGAGAGAGAGAGAGAGAGAGAGAGAGAGAGAGAGAGAGAGAGACGTGCGCAGGAGGGGACGTTGCACGGGGGTGGGTGGCGCGGCGCAGAGGAGGAAGGAGAGAGAAAGAAAAAGCTAATATTTATCCTCGAGCGCGAACCAACGGACACGGTTCAAACTAAATATTATTCTAACTGTCGCGATTTAAACCCGGAAAAAGATCTAACTGTCCCCGAAAAATCCCAAACAATAGTATAAGACAACGGGCCAAAATAAAATAACTCGAAACACACTACGAGGGAGGTTTACCAGTCCAAATTCGCACCCGGTCCAAAATTTCACTTTTCCACTATTCCTGGCAATCTCGAGGCTGGCCACAATAATATCGACACTATCCAATTAAATTCTTCCCGAAACTCCCGAAAATCGACTGCCAAGTTTGGGGTCTAAATAACGGCCAAATTCGATCAAGTGCGATTCTAGCGAAATCTCAAGATTTAAAAATAATAACCGGGAGTGATCAGTTCCCGGGCGAGATTTTTACTATAAGCGCACTGACGAAATACCCGTTTTATAAATCCCAAAAATGGGCCAAAATTCGGAATGTCACAACTCTTCCCCCCTTACAAAAATTTCGTCCTCGAAATTTACAATTCAACCCAACTATTCAAACAAATGAGGATACTGGTGTCGCATCAACTCTTCACTTTCCCACATCGCATCTTTGGTTCCATGGTGTTCCCAAATCACCCTGACTGTTTCAATTGACTGCTGAACCAACTTGGGACCCGTGATGCTCCTTTCACCCACTCATTCCAACAAACCGGTGTTCTGCAAACCCTGCCATACTATGCCCCAAACGGTGCCATTCTAAAACTCTGCTGATAGCTATTGTTATAGGCAAACTCAACCAAGGGCAATTATTCTTTCCAACTTCCCCTAAAATCCAATGCACATGGTCGCAGCATATCTTCCAAAGTCTGAATCGTCCTCTCAGACTAGCCATTTGTCTGCGACTAATAGGCCGTGCTAAACTGTAACCTTGTTCCTAATGCCGTATGAAGACTTTTCCAATAAGCGGCAGTAAACTTAGGATCACTGTCTGAAGTGATCGTCACTAGTTTTCCATGGAGACGGACTATAGGTCGCACATACAAATCGGCATACCTTTCCAAGGCCAAATCCTTTCACACCGGTAGAAAATGTGCTGACTTTGTTAACCGATCCACTATCACCCAAATCAAATCATGGCCCCTCTGGCTCCTCGGTAATCCCATGATGAAGTCCATCGTGATGTGTTCCCATTTTCACTCGGGAATTTCCAATGGCTGCAATATTCCACCCGGCTTGCAATGTTGCGCCGTCACTTGTTGGCATGTTAAACATTTAGCCACATGCTTGGCCACATCCACTTTCATGCCGTTCCACCAATAATGCTGCCGTAAATTCTGATACATTTTTGTACTCCCCGGGTGAATACTGTACGTACTACGGTGTGCTTCAGACAAAATCTCTTCCTTCAGTTCTGTATCACTGGGTACACATAACCGTCCACGGAACTTTAGAATCCCATCCTCGGATACCTGAAAATCCGATTTCCTTTTTGTGGCATCCATACTCAAAATCTTCTGAATATCTGGGTCCGTCGATTGTAAAGCCTTAATCTTAGTCTGTATTTCTGGTTCAATCCTCAATGCTGCAAGTAGACTCGAGACATGACTCACTTCAAACTTAAATTCCAAATCTCGAACTCCCTCCAACAGAATCCACTCCTTGACCATCATATGCGCAATGCTTGATTTCCGGCTCAGTGCATCCGCTACCTTATTAGCTTTTCCAGGGTGATACATAATCTCGCAGTCGTAGTCCTTAAGGAGTTCCATCCAACGGCGCTGTCTCATGTTTAATTCCTTTTGGGAGAACAAGTACCTTAAACTTTGATGGTCCGTATAAATCTGAAATTTCTCCCCACACAGGTAGTGTCTCCAAATCTTAAGAGCGAAAATAATCGCGGCTAACTCCAAGTCATGCATCGGATAATTTTGCTCATGTGGCCTTAATTGCCGCGATGCGTATGCCACTACTTTTCCGTATTGCATTACCATGCATTCTCATCCTCTTAGCGACGCATCACTGTAGATCTCATAACTTCCCGGTCCTGACGGGATTGTCAATACTGGCGCGGCTATCAACCTCTGCTTTAACCCCTGAAAACTCCTTTTGTACTTATCGTCCATTCACATTCCATTTCCTTCTTTAGCAAACGCGTCCACGGTGTAGCTAACGCTAAAAACCTTTTTACGAAACGTCTGTAATAACCTACCAGACCCAAGAAACTCCGAACCTCGATTACCATTGTCGGTCTTGGCCAA